AAAATGACATTTTGTGAGTGCAGAAAGGTCAAATAATTGATTATGCGAAGCAATTTGAAAATTTTTCTTTGTCACAATTTTAATGTGTCTTTTTTAAGAGAGAATAATAGCATACTTTGTCCCATGATTTATTTGGATAAAAAATATTGGAGGGAAAAACGTCGAAGATGTTATTTTTGATTAAGATACAAATTCAGTGCAAAAAGGTCATTTTAAATGTACTGTAGCGCCAAAAGAAGCATATTGACCCCCATTTTTTGTTTTGATTTTTAATTAAGCTATGTGTGTACAAGCTAGAAATATACTTGACAAAAAAAGTTTAAGACTTTAAATATCAGGATCCAACGTCGTTAAGTGTCATGCTATGATTTGAAAAAAATCAAATCTAAAATAATTTTTTTTTTTGGGGGGGGGGGGGGGGGGGGGGGTTCTCTGACCAAGTGGTTCTTGAGAAAATTTGTAGGTGATCCTGCCTAATTTTTACTATATATAAATTATCTCTTGGAAGGGGTCATAACCTGTCTTTGAAATAAATTTGACTCCTGTTTCCCCAAGTGCCAAATTTGATTGAAATTCTTCAATTGGTTCTGGAGAGGATTTTAAATTTTTTAAAGCTTAACAAATACAGACATACATATAGGTCATACAAACTTCAAAAACGTTTTGACTCAAGTGAGCTAAAAAATACATTTACATGTAATTAACCTTCCTCTTAAAAAGGAAGGAATGCAAAAAGCAAGGGGATACAATAAGCATTATTCAGTGTACCTTTCCCAATTCTTCTATGAAGCAGACATGTGTCACTGGGTCCCTTTTCTTCACTAAAACCTTCTGTAAATGCTGCACCTGTTATTTGAAAGAAAAAGAAAAACCTCAGGCTACCTGAACCTGTTATATAACCCATATTCCCTAAATCTATTCAGCTCTTCCTACTAAATCACTTATTTTGGGGGGATTTTTTTCTGTGTTTTCAAAGTATGAAGGAAACCCACAAATTCTGTCCTCTATACAGTGTCAAAATTTCATTCTACAGTATCTTGTTTGTCCTTTACCTCAAACCCAAATCTCCCTAAATCAATATTTTTTTTCCTGGTTACCTCAAAAATTAAACCCCATGAAAATATTATTAAAAGATTTTTACATCAGCAGACTGCATGGTCTTGCAAGCAATTGAAATTTCTGTGAGTTTCTGACCTGAGCACATGAGGCATAGATATTGTCCATTAACTTCTCCATGTTGGTCCAGAGTGAGGCTCGGAATGCTGCAGTATTTCCTGTGACTGGCATAGCTGCCCTACCAGGTCCTCCTGCAAAGTTGTACAAAACAATTGATATTTGCATCACAATCTGTCTAAAAAAGCATCAACATATTAACTAACAGTTAGTTATCATAGCCTAAATAGTTTAGATCTCTTTTTACTGACTGATGCAGCAAAAACATTTAAATACATGTACATGTAGCGTAGTTTAAACGGCATACTACCCAGGGCCTTTGTCTGAAAATATCCATTACTTGATTCTTTGTATTAACATGTATGTATAGAGCAGTGATCACTATTAAAAGCTGTTATGCAAAGATATGATCTGGGAAGAAGTTAACATTTTTTTAGTACATATACATGAACATGTACCGGTATATTATATTTAAAATGAAGCAAAGAAAGGTGATCCTACTTTGAAGTCCCATAGTAAGTTATACCAAGCCTAAGTTTTTACTGATATTTTAATCTGGGAAAGAAATGAATATACTAAGAAATACATGTACATGTAAATGACAAAATTTCCTGTTTTATTTTTCAAGATGATTAATACCTACCAACAAACAAATTACATAGTAATTTCAGTTGTAATTCAATTTACATAATGTACTATTCTAAATATTTCCAAAGGTCTGAAATTTGAAATTTTACTTTACTACAACTGTTTTAAACAATAATTTATCTATTTTTCTTATAACCGACCTCTGCCTCGTGGTACATTCTGCTGGGCCAGGCTCTGAGCATCCAGACAGGTTCTGACATTTTTGTTGAGGTTTTCTATACAATTCTGTATCACACGCTCCACAATGTGGTGTAAACTACCAAGGTTGTGAAAGACTTGGAGAGAAGTGGCTACTTGTGTGGGATTCTACATATCCAAAACAGAAGGCACATTTTCACTGACTAAAGAGTTTTAAGATAAAAGAGAATAACACATATACACGTACAAATACATGTACTTTCTGAAAGTCTGGTTCCTAAACAGTATTGACTACTATAGATCACAAAATTTTCGCAACACCTTATTTTCTTGAAATAGTTCTTTGGTATTTATAAGTGAGAGAATATTTTCAGAAATTTTGGTTATTGGTGAATATAATCATAATTATCATTTTGATAAATAAATGCAAGAATAAAATTTTCAGTACAGATGGTTTTGTGTAATAACGTGAAAATAAAATTCTTGCAAATAAAAACTGATTTACAGTATTATAATTCTGTGGCTCTCTGTATACACTACACACATCTGACAAAAATCAGAGAACTGACCTGGGTTTCCATTCCCTGCTCTAACATTTTGTGTGCCTGTGACTCCACATCTTTCCTGGCTTGTTTGATAAAACGACGATCCTGTTCTATGATTTCCACACCACTGAGATCCACTCCCTCACAGATATAATCTAAAAGAAATTTACAGTCAGTTTATTGATATTTACTTTCTCCTTGAAATATTAAGAGCTTTTCATTTATAACATTCCATGAAAAAATGCTTTCCAGCTTAAACTTTTCAATGGACTTTGTACAATATAACTTTATAGCAGTACATGAATTTCCAACACAATGAGATGAGGAAATTTTCAACACTTAAAATCTTTTACCCAATTCATTCAGACTTTGAGCAGCCTTGGTTATCTCCCTTGCTCCCCCCTGGAGCTGACTGTTTAACCTCTTGCCAAGGTACATGATTCTAATTATTCTCCTGAGAAGATCGCAGGTATCCTGGAAAGAAAAATATTTATACAGTGTACAGGTACGTAACAATCTCAGAACTCACAATCTTTTTCATTCAGCAAGTCTACTAATGAAAAAATGTATCAAAAATCATCTACACCAACTCCCTCCTTGAAAACCTACTTGCAGATTTCTTAACTGGGTTGTTCTTGATGAGATTTTGTTAAATGGTTCTGACACTTTAGAACGGATTCTGAAACAAAATTTAAATATTTAAAACTTATTTAACAATGTGCTGAAATTTTAATAAAAAATTCCTGTAAATCAAAAACATAATAAAAAACTACAGTTAATCTGATCCTGATATATTATAAGCCTAACTTGATATAAAGAGGATAACGACAAGGCTCCATTCCACATTTTCCAAAGACTATCATAGCTAGTACAAACACAACTGCCAATTTAATGTAATATATTAATAAATATAATCTAAAAATATATTACAGGCCTGGAGTTTTTTGCTTCATGCCAATTTTCTTGGGGTATTCATACAAGATAAAATCTGCTAGGCCAAGCACTTGTCTTAATCACAGGTAGTCTAAAACTATGAGAAAGCATCAATACCTGAGGTTTTACATAATATATTTATCTGAACTTTGGTATCTTGCAGGTTGACATCTTAGATACATGGATATGTAAAGAGTGTTGGTCAATGGTCGTCACAGCCACTTTTTCATTATAATTATATTTCAATCTCAATATCTCAAATTGTCTGATATTTCAATGATTTTTATCAGCCCCATCAAGTTCAAGATAACAAGGTTGGACTGTATATGAATTTGATACATGTACTTACCGATCCATTGCTGCCAGCAGGGACTGGATCCTAGACTGCATCATCTGAAGTACACCTTCCAGTGTCTCCACACCTGTAGCTTGTGATAGCAGGTCCTCATGGTGTGCAACAATCTGTAATGTGCACATTACAAATGGAAAGTATAGCATTAGAGTTTTCCTCTAATTTTGACTGTTCTTACTAAGAAAAGGACTGAGGTTTCTTTTGATTGAGATGCAAATTAGTGGGAAAAAATTTTATTTGGGATTCAGATTACTTCGTTCTTTTTTTTATTGTGTGAAGTGCAAATAAACGAGAAGAAGCATTCAATTGTGACATAATAAGGCACTTATGTTGACAATGACATCTACTTCTCTGTTTCTCTGTATAGCAGAACAAAAATAATTCCCTTGTTGGAGAATATACCTCTCAGTCTTGATATTTTGTTGGCATATAAAAGACTCACCCTTTGGGCTCGGTTTTTTATCCATGTATATTTTCCAACAATTCCTCCGACTAGGGAATTATTTCTTAAATGTATGAGAATTGTTCCAACGATTGTTCTGTGCCATCCATGGAAAAAGAAGACTTACCTGAGAATGAATTTCTCTGTCCAGTAGGGAAATGCCCTCAGCTAGTTTAGACAGTTGCTCTGATATGGCCTTTCCTTGAATCGCTTGATTTGCATGTGCTTTCACATCAAAAGTTTCGTCTAAAAATTTTCTGAACTCCTCTACAAATAAAAGATGGGAAATAAATTGTGCCACATTTACTGGTTCGGATACAACCGAAGGTTAAAACAAAAATTTGGATAAATTTCCGTTTTGTCTCTTCATCAGAACTAATGGTATACAATGGTCAGCAAATAATCTAAGCAAGTCATAACTTAAACAGCTGCAAGGAAGATAAGTTAAGAAATGAAACATAATTACCATCGCTGGCTAGTTGCTCTATGACATGGTCCTCCATATTGACAAGTAGAACTTCCGGTTTACTAGTTTAGTTTCGTATGATCAGAATGTTTGCAGTTAAACTCACAAAAGATACACTAGAAATTAATATATTTAAATAAGATTGTTTATAATTGATTTAAAGTCTTATATTCATGTAAATAAGAAAAAAAATTCAACAGTCCGTTAAGTTTTACTTTCACTTTGACTTACACATGTTTCAAGTTGCTTGTTATTGGCGCATCATAAAAAAAAATATGATCATGTGAAATATAAAAACAAGAAAATATTTGACAATCGTTTTAATGGATGTGCATAAAAAACAATTATTATGCGTTAATCATGGTTTAACCTAAAGATTCTGTAAAAATGAGTAGGCCTAATGATCATGATTTTTCTTGGACTAAACCAATGGATCTATTCTCAGAGAAGAAGATGGTTAAGATATGTGCTCCAATGGTCAGATATTCAAAGTTAGTGCAAGAGTTTATTTGCATATTATGTATGCATGTGCACTGTATGTTTAGTATTGATTTTGCATCTGTTTACTCTAATACACATGTACAAGATAGAATTTTGAGAAAGGAAAATGTAATCCTAAAGAAAATAACAATTTGAATAACAGTGAAATACTGTAATTTATTTATAGAATAAAAGTGATATTTTGTCACAGTGTGAAAGAATATCAGTTAAAGTGAGTTAATTTGTTACAGTGTGAAAGAATATCAAAAGAGTAGCAAAACTCGAGATTTTCCTTCCCTTCTCAAAGAGTGTTGTAAAAAAAAAAAAAATAATCCCAGGCCTATTATAAAATAGAGAGAGTAATTGAACCACCCTGAATTATATAAAAAAGTTTTGTTAAAATTGCAGGTTGCCATTTAGGACTTTGGTGAGAAAGTATGACTGTGATCTGGCATTCACACCAATGATTGTGTCCAATTCATTCATTCACTCGGTGAAAGCAAGGGACAGTGAATTCACAACATGTTCTAGTAACTATGCTGCCTATTAGAAAAATTGTTAACAAACTTTAGAACAACATTTAACATTCTTTTCTTTTTTGTTTGTTTATTATCTTAATTGGTTTATTTTTTTATTTATTTACCCAGTATTTATATTTTATTTTTATTTGTTTTTTATGGGGGGAGGTTTTGTGTTGTGTAGTGGGAAATGTTGTGACTTGTAGTTTCTTATGTTTTTTTTTAAAAACTTTTTTTAATTGACAATTGATACGGTTGGATTTCAAACTGTATGAATTATTTGTCTTTCTGTTCTAGCAAAAGCAAGTTAGCTATAGGTTTCAAAATCTAAATCATTCTATATGCTGTATGCAATAATCAAAGTGAAATCTACAAAAAAAAGATTCTTGTCAAAAGATTTTGAAATACTGAAATGAATTGCTTACATATATTCCCTTGTCTTGCAGAAATCAATACATGTATAATAGATTCTATGATTGCCTATTTCAGCTGACAGACCATTGATTGTACAGTTTGCAGCAAGCAACAGTAAGGACTTGGCCGATGCTGCTGAAATAGTTGCCCCGTAAGCAAGTTGGATTCTATACAGTTGAACTTCAGTATCTCAAACACTGATATCTCGAATACCATGGATATGTCGAAGTGATTTGGAAGTCCAAACCCCTTATTCTTTAAGTATTTTACCCGGGATATCTCGAATACTCGGATATATCTAGAAGTTTTTTCTTGGTCCCAGTTCGAGATATCGAGGTTTGACTGTATATAGTTTTCCAATGTTGTAGATCAGAAAAACATTTTATATTTTAAACATTCATACAAATCTCACAGCAATATTTAGAATTGGTATAATACACTCACACACTCATACTCTCACTGACCACTCACCCATATAAATGAATGAATGAATAAGGCAATGAATGAACGTAGTAAATTCGGTAGTGAGAACGGAATTCACTAGTTACTATAATAATATAATGTCTTAGAAAAATGTATGAATATGGTATGAATGATAATTAGTATATTAATTAATTAATTATAATTCACCCTGTGACATTCTCCTCCTCTTCGAGAAAAATGTGTCCTCACATTTCGTCAAATAACATTGTATAAAAAAAATATCAACTGAAATAAAAATATTCAGTATTAAAATATCAACACACATATGATTGATAATTAATGTTTTGCAACATCTCCTGCTTAATAACAGAAAACATTTTGTATATGCACAAGCTGAAATACAAAATCATTCAATCAATTCATTTATGTATAATTGTCATAAAACTGGAATCATGAATGGCTAAGCTGAAAAGCAATCCATGATTGATAAAGCATCATAAAATCTAAGTAATATGATCAACTAGCGATCATGTAAGTCCTAAAACTATCAACTATCACATACGTCTTAAAACTATCAACTTTGGATATCTACGTCATAAAACTATATACAACGAACTAACTGAAATCTACTATCTGAAATCTAATCCCTGTATTAATCCTGTGACACAAACATTGAGAATGATATTAAGCTTATGTGATAAACATGATAAATATAAACATGAACGTGAATTAATATTGTTTTATTTTTAGATATTCTGATGGTGTAGATTTGAATTGCGGATGCCCTCAGAGGTAAATATTTATAATTAATTCAGCATAAGGCAAAAGGGGGTGTAATCTTTTTGGATCAAAGTTTATCTATTTATATAATATCTTCATCCTGCATCTGTAATCCTTGAGCTTAATATTCTCTTTTTGACTGCATTTCAAGTACTACATGTACATCATTTTCAGTTGGGCCTTACTTAAATATTTGGCTTTTATGCACATCAAAATTACTCCTTTTGTTTCCAGGAATTATTTTTTGCAAAAAATTAAAAATGAAATATCAGTTATAAACTTTAAAAAAAGCAGAGAACATGAAAACAAGCCAAGAACATGAATGAATCAGACTATAGGACCTATGGACTATTAACATGTAGTTTGAGAGTAGGATAACTTTTAAAATCCTCAGGATATACTTTCATGCCACATTAGACTGATTCCCTAAACTCTGTGATAACATCCTAAAGGATGACTGCACTTAAGGACATGCGGAATTTGCGACAAAATAAACTTTCCAAACAAGCATTTTTCTTTTCATTGCAAGAATGGTCGACATCCAATCTAAAACTTTACGTAATTACGTTTAATAAAAGTGTGTATTTACGAAGTTCGAATCTGTTTTCAAAGGCAGGGGTCATCACAATTTCTTGAATCTCCGTTCGATAATGAGAACGCCCACTTTTTTACTGACTTTATACTTAGTCAGCGCATGTTTGTCTATTGTTCTACGTTTAACAGTCGTTGTATATTTGCATAAATAATAACGTGTCAAAAGGAGATTAATAGACAAACATGCGCTCATGGTTAAAAAGAGAAAAAACTGCTTCTTCTTACATTCGCTCTCTGTGTTGTAACCAAGGATTGTGACATGTTGAATATTATAATTCACCACGTGATTTCTTAACTCAGGTAACTTTGTGAATACTAAATTCCGTCACGTGACTTGTAAGGAAGCATGTTTTGTGCTAACTAGGACATTGTGTTCGAACACGTTAAGTTATCTGGCGTTGATATAAAATCTGCTTTAATTACATTGACGTGCTCATATTGTTAATTTCGTTTTGAAACCTTTGTCAGAAGTGTATTTGTACCATACAGAATAAAGAGGGAGATTGGAAAGAGTGATCACGTTCGCTTTTCCAAACATGTCATTGTTATTTATGTAGTCTAATTTTAGAGCAATTCTTACAATGTTAGCTCCACCTCTCATGCATATCTAATGTTCAATCAAGGGCAGGTAAGTGTAAATTCACTATATTTGGAAAGAAGTGAGGACAAAAACATTGAATCATTTTATTGTATCACAGTCTAAAGTCATTTTAAGATTTAAATGTGGTTCCAAATTGACAGTATTCTTTCATAAACATACAAAAGTTAGATAAGGTTTAGAGATAAAAGCAACAGAAGCAACCGAAAAAGACCCAAAAACAGGCGTTAAGTGCAGTCATCCTTTTTAGCAAACATTTCTAGACTATTTCTGAGTTGGAATTTCCTTCTTTGTTGAGTATGGACTCCCCTCACCCTTACACACCCCCTAACACTATCCCATCAAAAAATTCCTTGATCCACACATGCATAAATAATATCCTGAATTTTCAGCATAGATCACTGTTTGATGGTTCTGGTTGATAAAATTACACGTATATAAGCATATTTTACTGAAAGTGCAAACATTTCATGAAAATTTACATACAAACCTCTGTATGTTTTGTATCTTTTTACACATTCTATGTGTTCAGACTTTGCCATCCAGTGCCAATATTGTACTACATGCAGCTTTCCAATCAAATATCGTGAAAGAGGGAGCTCTTTTGAAGAATGATTAAAGTATACTAGGTCAATCAATTTACAAGCAAAGGGATTACATGTAATTCCTTTTTATTTCTTCAGTAAGACCAGATTGACTTTTATGTGTGGCCCATATAAGCATCTGTCTGTTTTAAGCTCACCTGAGCTGTAAGCTCAAGTGAACTTTTGCTGATCACCCATTGTTTGGCATCTGTTTGTCTCTCTGTCCTTCAGTCTGTAAACTATCCACATTTAATCAGGGGTTGAAATATACAGTAGCTGACACCCGTCCTAGTCATTTTAAGACTGGGCTAGCTAATTTAAATGTAACAATAGTCTGTTGGGCTAGCCGAACAGAAAAAAATTCTCATCAGTTTACTTTCACTTTTCTATGCAGACTGATTTCATTTGACTAAGACTAATTTAATTTGTTTCTGTCACCAAAGTGTTTGAATTTTTAATTTGTTATGTTTTCTTTCTGCATAAAAAAATGTTGGGCTAGGCAGTTTGAGGTTTGGGCTAGTAATTTTTTACTGATCAGTAGCCCCTGGGCTAGTAGTTTTCCAGGAAAGTTTCAACCCCTGAGTCATTTTCTACTTCTTTTCAAGAGCCATTTGGCCAGGTTTAACCAAAGTAAGCACAAAGCATTTTTGGGCAAAGGAGATACAAATTGTTCAAATGAAGGCCAAGCCCTCTTCATAGTGGAGATTATCAAGAAAAGGCAAAAATAGTTTGGGGTCATTAAAAATTCTTCCTCAAAAACCACTGGGTCAGAAAAGACGAAAATTACTTATAAGCTTCCTGATATAGTGAAAATTCTAAATTTTTCAAATCATGGCCCCAGGGATAGGGTGGAGCAACAAAAGGGGAGCAAGGTTTAACATAGGAATATATGTGCAAAATGTTCAAAAATCATCTTCTCAAGAACCAAAGGGCCAGAAAAGAAGAAACTTATTTGTAGGCTTCTTGCTATAGTGTAGATACCAAATTGTTTAGATCATGGCCCCAGGTGATAGGGTCGGGCTACAATAAGAGATCAAAGTTTTACAAAAATAGGAAACTATCTTTTTTGAAAAAAATTATTCTGAAGAACAGCAGGGCCATGATTAGTGATATTAATATTTGAGTATTCTCAGATAGTGCAATGTCCTTGGATGGAGTCACAATTGGAAATAAAAATTTTAATCAATATAGAGGAAAAAATCTTTTCAAAAAATCTTTCTGAGATTGATAATAGAATCATTATTTGATTTGCAGTTAATCCGAAGTTGTGTGGATTCAGCTTTCTTTTCAAATTATGTAGAGTTAGGGTTAGGGTTTGGCTAACATCTACATAAAGCATGTATCCATGATATAAAAACAGTTCTTCTCTATAACAGAGAGACCATGTTAGTTGAATTGATACAGAAACACCCCAATATTGTAAGAATTCATAGACCCATTAGAGTTAGGGTGAAGCTTATTGGGTCATATATTGTAATTTTTCATTGGAATAAAAAGGGTAAAAAATCTTTCAAAATCTGATGAAGAACAGCAGGGCTAAAGTTACTCAGGTGAGCAATGTGGCCCATGGGCCTCTTGTTAAATTAGACTGCACAGAACTTTTAATAAATTTATCTTAGGCATTTGATTAAAATTCTGGACTGTGTATATATAAAATTTTATAATTTTTTTCTCAATCAATATCATTAAAGATTGATTACAGAAATCTTTACAAATATCACAAATATATACAGATTTTTTTTCCTGTAGATGGGCTATAGCAGAAGGTTACGGAGCCTGCTTGATAAAGAAACCAGAGTTAGTGCGAGACATGGTGAATCAAACTCGAGCACGAGTCTGTAACTCAGACTTCACAGTCTCAATCAAAATCAGGATACACAATGATCTCAGGTAATTGTTTTCTCAAAAGAGTTATCCCTCTTGGAATGCCAGATTTGTTGGTAGATTTTCACTGTGGTCATATTTGATTTGTTTGAAATTTCTGATCTTTTGGTGGTAGTAATTTCTTATGAGTGGTAGAGAGTTTCTTTCTAAGCTACTTATGATCTTAAACTGCAGCTAAAGAGAAATTTATTTTTTTATTGTCAGGGAAACTGTTGACCTTTGTCAAAAGGCAGAATATGCTGGTGTATCTTGGATAGCAGTCCATGGTCGAACGAAGGACCAGCGGGCAGAACCGGTAAATAAAGAAGCAATAAAGCTCATCAAAGAGAGTGTTAATATTCCTGTGATAGCCAATGGTGACATTAGAAGCCTGCAAGATGCAGAAGAAATACAGGGGGTTACAAAAGTAGATGGGGTCATGGCTGCAAGAGGTATTCTTCAAAATCCTGCCATGTATGGTGGTTTTGAGCATACACCGCTACAATGTGTTCAAGATTGGGTAAGAAATTCTTTGAACCACTTAGATTTAAAGCACAATTTCTTTCTGGTTAGACAAGCTGTAATTTAGGGTGAATTAAAGAGATTTGGCAGTCCCGACCACTTTATGGTTTTTAACCTGCTTATCCCGAATCTTCAGATATGTCAAAGTGTTTTAGATTTAACAAGGTTTGACGGTATAATTATGCTGAATATTTGCCTTAGAAGATGTATACATTTATCATACCACACTCAGTCAGTATAAGTGCCTTTTGAAAAATCAATTTGAGAATTTGAATTAAACTTTAATACTTATTCTCTCAGGAACCATAGCTCTCAGCATACTTAAGATATACCGTCAAAACAGAAATTCTAGCAAGGATTCAATTTTGGCATTTTTAGTGAGGGTGTTGAGATCACTTAAATTAAATATCGCTAACAATTTAATTATCCATTATTAGAGTAACCATTATCTTTCTATGCACCATAAAATCGCTAAAATTACTTCTCGCTTAAATTAAATACCGATTTTGAAGGACAAATCGCTAAAGTTTGAGTCTCGCTAAAAGTTCCACTTATACAGTATACGTTCCTATGTTGTTGTTTTTCCCGAATTTTTTCTTTTAATTAAATATATATAAATTTGCCATTTTTACCACAAATTTTCAGATCGACATTGCCATGTACTCCGGAGTGACATACCCTATTTTCCACCAACACCTGATCTATATGATGGAAAGGTTGTTCTGCAGAGCAGAGAGGAGGGTGTTTAATGTACTAGCGAGTACATCTGCAGTGCTGGACTATCTTGAGACACATTACAGTATATCAAATAAAGCTTAGAAATTATGAATCTCATGTTTTACTTGATTCTCCTAACGGAATATTGTTATATGCACAATGGAGCTTTATTTTGTTTTCAAATAGAATTTTTTGTTCTTATAAGTTCAAAAAAAAATTGAAAATTTGAGAAAATGATACTATTACCAATGACATCAAGGAGTGTTTTTCATAATCTGCACTTGATTACAATAAGAGCAGATCTTTTCAAATTCATCCTAGATACATCTTAAGAAAGTTTGGCAATACACTGGAATCATAACCATCAGTTTGTAGACTTTTTTTAACCTGGAGATGTCTCTGAAATTATTTTAATACCATTATTTTTCCAAATTTGTAGAATAATATATATCTTCCAGGGCCATCGAGTGGTTAATAAAATATCTTGTATAAAAAATTTAATACAAAGGTAGCTTATATCCAGAGATAAACCTTGATGCAGTATACCAAGGTCATTTTCAACAGGGTCAAGGTCACAGGGTACGAAAGTATTATGGGTTTCAGAAATATGAAATTTTGCCATAGCCTTAAATTTTATACGGGGAGAAAAACACGAGATGCAAAGGGTGATTGTGACTAGAGGTTGTTTAACAATCCTACACCAGGGCCCTGTCTTACAAAAGAACTTGGGACCAAGATCAAAATGTTATTAAACAAACAACTTTCCTTTTTACATTTACTTTGATAATGGTTTTAATCTTTTTGAAAAGAATTTAGATATTTTTCTGCAAGCAAATTTAAACAGAAAGATAAGTTATGTAAGATTTTACAAGCAACAAGTTTTTGGTCTTGGTCATAAGTTCTTTTCCAAAATGGGACCAAGGATCATTTGGACAAGCTTAAGGTCACTAGGTCTCATCCATTACATAGTAACCTCCAAAGATCATATTGCCCTGAGGGTTGATCATGATCACTGACCCTGATCAAAGGTCATTAAGATAAGGTCAGAGTTCATAAAAGTATCTCAGAAATGCAAAATTCTAAAAGAAAAAACATCTTTTAATGGAGGAGCATCATATTATGCCTTACTTGGCATACAAGTGAATGTGCCGTATGTCACAATTCTATGTCGTAGTTCTTTGCTAAAGGTCACAGTGACCTGAGAAGTATTTTTTATGCCCCCGGATCGAAAGATCCCGGGGGTGTATTGTTTTTGTCCTGTCTGTCTGTTTGTCTGTTTGTCTATTTGTCTGTTGTCAACTTTAACCTTGCCCATAACTTTTGATTGGTTGGAGCTATGACTTTCATATTTCACATGTGTATTCCTTGTGACAAGACCTTTCTTTGGATACCATCATATTTGACCTTGACCTTGGAGTTTGACCCACTTTTGCAAAATTTTATGAGACTTTAACCTTGGCCATAACTTCTGAACAGTTGGTGCTTGGGGTTTCAAACTTCACATGTGTATTCTTTGTGACAAGGCCTTCCTTTGGATACCAACAACTTTGACCTTTTGACCTTGACCTAGGAGTTTGACCTACTTTTGAAAAACTTTAACCTTGGCCATAACTTTTGAAAAGTTGGTGCTTAGGGTTTCAAACTTCACATGTGTATTCCTTGTGACAAGACCTTCCTCTGGATATCAACCACTTTGACCCTTTCACCTTGACCTAGGAGTTTGACTTTTATTTAAAAAACTTCAACCTTCGCCATAACTTTTGAATGGTTGGAGCTGACTTTCATACTTCACATATGTAATCCTTGCGACAAGACCTTCCTTTGGATACCAACCACCACTTTGACCTTTTGACCTTGACCTAGGAGTTTGACCTACTTTTGAAAAACTTTAACCTTGGCCATAACTTTTGAATGGTTGATGCTAGGGCTTTCATACTTCACATATGTAATCCATGTGACAAGACCTTCCTTTGGATACCAACCACTTTGACCCTTTGACCTTGACCTAGGAGTTTGACCTACTTTTGAAAAACTTTAACCTTGGCCATAACTTTTGAATGGTTGGTGCTAGGGCTTTCATACTTCACATGTGTAATTCTTGTAACAAGATCTTCCTTTGGATACCAACCACTTTGACCTTGACCTTGACGTTTGACTTTTATTTAAAAAACTTTAACCTTCGCCATAACTTTTGAACAGTTGTATCTAGGTCTTTCAAATTTCACAGGTGTATTCCTCGAGACAAGACCTTTCTTTGGGTATCAACATTTTTTATCTTTTGGCCTGGATTTTGACTTGCATTTGAAGAAACTTTAACCTTCACCATAAGCTGCCATACGGGGGCATCAGTGTTTCACAAACACATCTTGTTTTTTTAGCAATTATGTTTTGATGCTTGGATTCTGGATAATTTTTTTTTTTATACTCGACCATTACTTTCAATCAGAGGTGTTGCAACCTCCAAATACAACATTTCCACAAGATTCAAGTCATGGGAACTTGAAATATAAATTTGCAGCAAGGTGGCAGCTTTTTTAATTCAAGAACCTTTTTTTTTTGGTTGCCCTTCTGGGATACACTATTTTAAAGTGGAAATTGCCAAATAATAAGAAAACACAGTTTGTCATTTCCGGCACGCTTTACTGCAAAAAAGCTTTACCTTGCATTGTTCAACTTTCTTAAAAATATAACATTGCAACAAAACTTAAAAAACCAGACAGCAAAAAGTGGCATTAATTAAACATCAAATTATCTGAAATATGTCAAGCATTGAAACAGTTTGGTTGACAATACCCTATATGAATGAAGTCATAATAAACCAGTGCAGTACAACTATAGTATCACAGCTTTAGTATGTAATTGGATTTATAGTTACACTGCACATGAAAAGTACAAAAACAAGCCACTTTTGAACATCCTGCACAAAATATCAAGGTCTATAAAAGTTACTTGATATAAACTGTTTCTTTGTTCATTTCACTTCCAATATTTGAAATCGTTATGAATACAGATTATTCTTGGAAGTACATGTAAATTTAAAGTACATCAGAGATTTTCTTTTTTAGCTGGTTAAAAATAGGTTAAAAGTTGTTGAATTTGTATTCGTCCTAATATATATCCAAAGCTGAATGTTGTGTGAAAATGCACCGTATTTCTAGGAACCCTTTACATTGGAATAACTCCTCGTTTGAACAATTAAAATTTAATAATTAAAACAGTGTCCACTCTCTTAGAGGTCAATGAGGATGTCAAAGCTGTTTTTTTCCATCTTTTTCATTTTTTGAATCACAACATGCAGTTAACATCAAAACTGTAAATAAATAAAACCGAGGTAATAGGACTTGTCTACATTTCTTCTATGTACAGGTGCCAAAAACTTCTACTGTGACAAATGAACTAAAAATGTGAATGCCAAAAATACTCCTCTGTGTCAGGGGAAAAAAGTTTTGTGTCAACATATTTCTTCTAGGAAAAAAGTCAAAAACTGCCCCTTTCATTTGTCCAAAAAGTTTCAAATGCTACATTAAAAGCTTGCATGAACTTACACATTTTTCCCACTTGCCATAAAAGCTAATTATTGCCCTTCTTTTTGTGCTATCCAAGTTACATAAAACTGGTCTAAATCTACATCCACTTTACATACCGTATACTTCTTTATACTTGCACACTAAAGTAGTCATTTCTTTTTGTTTGTTTTTCTTATTCCTTAGGCATGATGTGTAAAATGCATTCAAATTAACTGCTTAAAAAATTGTCATGAGAATGCAGTAGTGACCCGTGGATTCACATCACTCTAATATGTCTTTAAAGATAACTTTTTTTAGGACCCTCTATACACAAAATCAAAAATTTTCTTTTAGACATTAAAATCGTATTGTATAAATATTTTACTTTCATCATATGGTATGTGGCATATCCCCCTAGGAAAAACATTCATAGTTATTGAAGTAGCACTGTTTACTTAATTGAAGACAATGCATGCAAATGCAAAGTTCAGTTTAATTATCTTGGACTATCCGAACATTAAGAATGCTTGCATTAACTACAAAAGGAGTAATAGACTGTAGATTTCCATTTATAAAATTTGAGGTCTAATTAAGGGCAGATTACTGAACTCCATAAAAATACCATAGAATCAGAGCATTATGTGTGCAGTGTATAGAGGGTTCTTGGAGCCTAAAATGCAACTTACGCCTGGAGACCAACTTTACTTTTGTTTGATTGCTTTAGCAAATATGAAATGTTTTAATGATGCATGCACAAATGGAAATTGCTGGTACTTCACAATATTCTTAAGGCTACAATGTTTATGTGAACAGTACAAGAATATTAATTATCGAAAATTCTTACGAATTGCTCTATACTCCCTTACTATGGCAATTCCTCCTTTTTTTTTTTTAAATGTAGTCATAAAAAACAAACAATAAAAACACTACAAGCCCTCGTAAATCACTAATCCAAACAGATGATTAGGTGCTAACATTATCCTTATTCAAATCTCAAAAATTCCTATTTTACCCTCAACACCAGTGCAACTTCTGTATTTTTATATACAACTCTGCCAAAATGATGAAAGTTGATAGTCAAACCAATTATGAACATCTCCATTCTAAGAATGTATCAAACCAAAAGCCTTTGCAATGTTTTTCTGTACATGCTGGAAAAAAAGAAGATTTTCTACAGGTGAAACTTATTAAAAGAGACAATAATGCAATATACATTTCTTCAAATGAAAATAGTAGAGCAATGTTCTGGACATCATTTCTAGTAATCTGATTGCATGGCAACCATTTAGGACAATAACAATGCTAATTCTAGTCTTTTTCATACAATACTGCTATGGAAGTTGCACCTTTGTGTTTTCTGATAGAAAATGTACAGCATTCACAGCATTTTTGTAATTTGTGGACATTACATTGCACTGTCAAAAACATTCTTATAAAGGATATTTTTTAAAGGCTGTGTAGCACTTTTGGATGTACAAATGCACAATTTATAACAAGCAGACATACAAGGTACATACTGTAATTTAATACGATGAATTAAATATTTTTTTTCAGATATATTTAAATGTCAGATAACTTACAAAAATTTTTTAATAACTGTAAATTCAGTCATCTCTTGCACACAGGTTGAATGAGAATATACAATTAGTCTTGCACATAAAACACACATTTTCATGAAAATATCAAACCCATTCACCCATGACCTGAAAAAGGTTCATTTTGTTCCCGTATCACCAGGGTAAATCTCTCTACTGAAGTAGCAATAATAATGGGGTGGTTCATCCTCTTTAGTATTCCCCTCCTTCATGAAGTACAAATACTATAGTATACTTGTAAACCATGAAACCTCAATATTGTATCGATTAATTAATAATGGAACAATACTATGAAAGACAATTGGTGAAAAGTTGTTCAAGGTTGTGGCGGTGATGAGGATGAAGAGCTGACCAATGGATTACTGGACACAGGGCTGGAATCTGCAGCCGTCATTTGGGCAGTTGTTAGTGGGAGAGACATCCCCGACTGTGTTGCCAAACTGCTTTGACTGCCAGGCATCATACCATGTGGAATGAACTGTGGGTAGGAGAAATATCCATGGCCTGTAAAGCTTGCCTGTGCATAAGGTGAAGAAGTTGGGTTGGTGTAAGGAAAGCTGTAAGGGTAAGGAGGATTTGAGAAAAGAGTTGGCTGATTTGTCATAACATTTAAGGGCTGTTCTGCTGAAGCAGAATTCTGCAACATGTTCAGTTGTTGCCTATTCTGCTCAGTGTCCGGAGAAAAGGAGAAATCAGCACTTGATTTCCTACTACTTTGGTTGGAGCTTTGTTTCATGGAGTCTACCGTATCACAGTCGGCTTTGACATTTTTATCTAAAGTAACATTATCAGACATCACAGTCATATCTCCATCTCTTTTCTGATCACCCTGACTCGAATCCCTCTGCGAAAATTCACTTGTGTCCGAAACTGAGTCAGAATCTTTTGCTTCTCGAGATGGTGTCTCCCCAGAAACACCACCATCTTTTGACAGATCACTTAATTTTGACACATCTCCTGAATTGGAAAGTTTGTGTTGTTTCGTAAGGCTTGGCATGAGTTTTCCCGAGATGTGCAAATTCCTCAACTGTTGTAGAGAAGAGGTAAGAGACTGCATCTGAGGACTCAGCATACTGGCCGGACCTGGGCCTCTCATCTGAAGAGGGGCAGGGGGAGCAGGGGGAGGGATAGGAACAGGCAAGCCTTTCTTCTTCATGAACTTCTGAATTTCTCTCTGTTGCTTTAAGTTCAATGACTTTCGTTCCTGCTCATGTCTACAATTACAAATTGAAATCCATATTCAATACGTAAGTTTAAGCAAACGTAGTACAGAACTGCCAAAATTATTTTTCAATGTCCAACTCATTCAAATGAGAATGGACTGCTTTAATTCATAATTCAATCCTTTTAAAATACATTTGTAATTTCAATGGTTTTAATGACATTTCAGAATAAATTCTAACAAAAGCCTCCAACTATTGACATTCCTGTATCAAATCAAAATATAAAACGCATTTAAAAAGCAGAATACACCCTTGATACTGCATTTCCAAAACAGGAACAAGTATTTAAATTTCATATAGCTGAATAACAATGTTTTTAAATCTCATCATCACTTTAAGTATACATAGAAAAATAATGGAATGTTCATCCACATTCTGTGATTAAATTTTAAATTTGACCAACATCTTAAAAAAAAAGAGAGAGACACATTTTCACCTCATCAGAATTTCCTGATATTCTGGGTCATCCTGCCACCACACTGAGGTATGGGACTCTGCCCCAGATTTGTCATCCTCCAGCTCTGTTTCCTCCTGAGACTCCTCAGGCAGAGCTTCTAGAGCCCCCTCCTCCTCCTCATCCACCTCCCTCACTGTCAGAACTTCCGTGTCTCCCTCAGACGATTCATCTTCTGACCTTGATGGTGTCTTTGGAGATTGCTAAAAGAGAGACATCAACTTTCATAAAATGTTATAAATGAAATTTGTTAAATAGCATAATTCCTGTCACTTTAAAATAATTAAGAGGTCAAGATGTATCAAACTTTCTCCTCGAGGAAAAAAATGTAAAAGGTGATGGGGGAGGCAACTCTAAAATATAATTTTGTTTTTGGTTTATTAACAATAATAATGTAGTTATGTACATATATGAAACTTACAGATGAATTTTAAGGAGCATAATTTCACCAGATATACAAAATAAACCCATCCCCTTTTCAGGAAAGTAAAGTATGCAGGGTCACCATTTATGATTTATAGTATTAAATACCATGCAGCTGTGAGATACATGTATATATAATAATGCCAATCAGTGCTCTGACTAGAATACTTTGGAGATGTTAGCTGGGATTATAAAACTTTTTTTCCAATTACCTTTTTACGAAATCGGGGGACCCGTGACTTCCAGAAATCAACAACCATCAAGGCTGGAGAGGTCTGACTACCAGTTTCTACAGCCCTACACTCATCATCACCTGACCCTTCCTCAGAGGAAAACTCATACCTTGTTTCAGGCACATGTACATGCAAGCCATGGACCTTTTTGTTAGCAGGGTAAGAACCACCACCTTTGAAAACCCCACCACATTGTTGGCAATCATTTGATAAATCATAGCTTCCTGTTGACCTTAACCTTCGTCTCTGGGGCAATGAATTTGAGAAATGTAATGTATGTTCTGGACTAAAGTGAAAATTTGGGAGTTCAGGAAAGTTACCACTTCTTCCAAGACCAGAATTTTTCAAAGGTGATGGCTCCAAAACCTTAGGATAGGGAGATAGCTTTGTGAGCAGTTTACTTACAGTGTTGCTAGCAAGCTGGGATGATACACATTCTGGATTAGCAGCACTAGCCCCTTCACCAAATACATTTTCTTTGTCAATGTTTTCAGGCCTTACTGCCACATTTTCTGTTGTGGCTTGAACTTTTGTCACTTGGAAACGACCTTTCTTGGTCGTCCCATGTTTTTGTTCTTTATCATCTGACACTTTGTCCATCATGTATTGCATTGTCTCTTTCACTTCTTCAGAAACTTCAGTCAAAGTTTCATTTTCACCTGCTGTCGAAGCACCTTCATCAGACATAGATCTATTTATTAATGGATCGTCTTTTACGGCACTTACTAAAAATCTCTTCTTTGAACCACTCTCTTGTGAAACTTCTGAAGGAACTTTCTTTACATCCCCTTGTTTTAAACTTTCAAGGGAGACACTTGGAGTTACTACCCCTGATTCATATCCACTTGGAACTACATTTTGTGCACTTTGGCTGTCACTTCCAGAGGGACACACATCAGCCCCTCCTCCAGTTTTCTCCCTCCTTAATCCAGCTGTACGGAGTTTCATGAGTTCCTGATCCAGTTTCTGAAGATTTGTGACATCTGATTTCTTTGATCCACCAGCCTGCTGGTCAGAAACACTGGGCGTTTTACCCTGACTATCTGGGTCCCGTCTCCTAGATAAAGTAGGAGATGGGGGATGGGAGGATCCAGAAGGCACAGGCTGATCTGCCATCATGGAGGAAGGAATCTGTTGGTGTTGTTGTGTCTGAGTTGTTGCCCCTGTCACTGTGTGATAAAACGGTCCAGGAAACATCCAGTTAGGATTAGGCTGCATAAACATTTGTGGCGGTTGAGGGGGCTGTGGTGGTTGTTGTGGCTGTTGTGAATGAGCTTGCTGGAGAAAAGACATGTACCAAATATAGTTATTGTAATACTGCATCTGTAACTGATACATGGGATCCATTGGAGGCATAGGAGGAATCATCATGGGCATTTTGGCATACATTGGTGCTGGAACTGGCTGTTGCTGTCCAGAAATGTTCTGGGCATGACTTATGGGCACACCTGACAGATTTGCAGGGAGAGACTGGCTTGAGTTAAGGCCAGGCTCCATATACTGGCTACTAGAGAGAGGTTCGACTTGTGGAGGAGGAAGCTGATGCTGTGTAACTGATGGCACTGTCTCCTCTTGTTGTGTTTGTTGAGGCTGTGGCTGAGCAATTGGTGGCACTTGTTGCTGAATGCGCTGACCTTGCTGTTGTTGCACAGTCTGTTGCACTTGTGGTTGTTGGTGTTGTAAAGGTTGCTGCAGTGGCTGCTGCCCTGCTTGTGGATGTTGTGCAAGCTGTTGGCCAGATGGTTGTTGATGCTGTTGCACAGGTTGTTGTTGTAGCAATGCCTGTTGCTGATGTTGTGGCTTTGATTGTTGCTGTTGTTGCACTGGCTGTTGTTGCACTGGCTGTTGTTGCTGTTGTTGGGGTACCATTTGTGTTTGAGATGTCTGACTTGTCTGCTGAGGTGCAGGCTGAGTTGTTTTCTGTTGAACAGGTTGTTGTCCATGTAAGCTTTCAACACTAGCATGTCTTTGATGAACAACCTCTGCAGGAGCAGACTGATCATCCAAAATTTGAGACGGTTGATTTTCCGAAACTGGTGTGACACTTGGAACACCAGGAGATGATCCTTTTTCTTGGGAAACATCTGTTTGTGCTAGTTGCTGAGAAGAATGGGTGAGCTGGTGAAGTTGCTCCTGTAGAGATAACAAATCCACTGGAACGGTACCTCTCCTTGAAACAGATTTATCAGAGTCAGTGCCAGTTCCTGTATCACTATCAACCACACCTCCAGGGTACTGAGTTGTTTGACTTGACGATGGCAGAGAACTATGTGTGTTCTCAGGGGAAATATAATTATCAGAAATATTCGTTTGCTCCTCATTATCATCTTCTGAAATTTTGGATTCAAGGATCCTGGGCTCCAAGACTTTGCTGACAATGAAGCTTCTCTTTTTGCTTTCTATGACTCGAGATTCTGACTTTTTCTCTCTCATATGAACTCCATCGACTCCATCTAGCAGGAGTTCACGAACTCCCATATCACTTCTACTATCATCCGACGCTTGTCCACTGTCTCCATCTGTGTCGAAGTGCAGCCTCTGAAATAGGAGGAAAAAAATATTCATTAACCCTTGCCTGACTTAATACGTCTGATTCCATGCAGTGCAAAAACCAGCTTTCAAATAATATACAGTGTGGGGCAAATATAGTCAACATATGAAATCTCAAATCTTATATCTTTGACTTTATCATGTAGAAGTCACAATAAAACATGCAAGAAAGTTTTCCTTTTACATGTAATATGAATTTGCATCAATTGATTTCATTCTCTTTTTGAGTTTTGAGATCACAAAGTCTGACTATACAAATATCTTAAATTACAAGCAACTGTGACCCTAAAAGAAAAAAAGATGAAAAATACTTAAAAGGAAACCAAATTCAAATAGAAATTTAATATACCGTATATGTAAACAGAAATTTTAATCTGTGTGTGAACTACCGTATATTATAAATTCTGGTGTAGTTATACTGTGAACAATCAGTTAGTTACAAGTAGTATCTAGCCTATCTTCGGTCAAATATACAGAGGTTTTCTGGTACATGTATAAGACACCACATTGGACAAGATTTTTTAACCCTTCACCAACACAAAGACACATCAACATGCAAGGGAAAGATGGCTGTACGTAAAAAGAGGAGTTCAAGATGGAAGATCAGCAAACCTTGTGAGTATGTCGTTTTCCTTTATGCCCTCGCTTATTGGCCTATATTGACAGTTAAAAGAGAATTCAGAAGACATAACAACACTGAATTAAGGCGGAGAGAATGAATTATACAGTGTCCAAAGAATCCAGAGAAATTTTAACGAATCATGCCAACAACAGAACTTCAGAAATTCAACTTTGAAATATATACCGACTACTGATAAGACATGTAATTACCTTGGCTGCCTCTGCATCTAATGCTGCTGGACGAATCTTTCTGACGGTACAGGGACTGGAGGTTGGTGTGTTTGTGTTACAGCTGAGGATATATGACACAGCTGTCTCTGGGTTCTCCTTCACCATGTGGTCCACTTCAACTAATAACTGAATCACCATGCCTGCTTGAGCCTCTGGGAGCAAGTCCTCCTGAACCTAAAATAGTCAAATTAATCAAAAGAAATTCAAATATTGCAGATGTTATCATTTAAGAGAGCATTCAGTAATTAAAAACACATGCATTAGAGCTTTTCAGTCCAAATAAATTTCTGTCACTTAGTTAATCTATGACTACAGGTCTATATTTTTTAACACATACCAAACTTTCTGCTATTTCTTGAGGTTTGTCATTCTCCAGTGAGAACTTAAATGTGATGGTGTTTTTATTAGAGATCTCCAGTCTACATTCCACCTCCCCATCCTCTTTCTCGTAACTAAGGATCGTCAAACGGGGGTTCTTCTCTAAAGTCTTTCTTCTTTTGACTCTCACTCTCTTTTTCTTCTCTTCAGTTTTGGCAGCAACAGATTCATTTTCACTTGTTAAAAAAACAACAAAGAGTTACGACACTCATATTAATGTAATTCTGCATCAAATCCATCTACCTAAAAGAGACCATGATCTCTGTCAAATCTGTGAGTTATACCTTCTTATTCATGAAGTTCAACAAATACAAACAAACAGAGCAAAAAATTATACCCACATTCTACAAAGGCATGAAAATGAAAGAAAAATCATTAAATTATATCTTAATGCTAAATTCCTTATTCTAGCTTTGTAGACTTTTACTAAGCGTGTTAACATCTCTTCCTTACCTTTCTCTATTACTGTGATCCTGTAATTCTGGTGGTATTGCACTGCTTAAAGACAGACTAGAACCTAGATTGGTCTGGGAGGTACCACTAGATACAGAGGAGCTGGCCTTTGGTGTAGTGGTACCTGGCTGCTGTTTCTGTTGACTCAGTTGGGCCGCTGCTATGTTCAGCTGTTCCAGACTTGTACCCTACCATCAAGCCAATCATGACATCATAAGAGAATGCAAAAATTATACTATACTTGTAATAATAATACAAAGAATTTTTTTTTTTACAAATGAATCATTAGCTAAATCATGCATTTCTGGTATAACTTTAGATGAAACTCATGAGCTAACTGCTGAAAACATGCTTTCACATGCCCAAAGCACACTTTTTTGTATCTAATTTTCTCAAAACAGTCTTAACATGTTTAAAAATATTTCCTTGACTTCATAAGAGACAAGCTTGACGTCATATAAAAAAACACATTGCATACATATATCCAAAGCAAATCATGACAAGCGTAAAATGCTAAGCATAGGAATGTTCAACCCAAACAAAAAACCTATTTGTTTAAGGTTGCGTGCTAAAAAATATAAGATTATGAAATAGGATTTGTTCATGGATACAGTGTATCTATTATGCAATATGATACAATATGACACCATGCCAAAAAACAATGAAATGAACTGTATTCAGATGTTTTCAGATTTTGGACTTGAGATGAGTAATAACTTTACTGGTCATGATAATTTATCACAAAAAAGCAAATTTATTTGCTCAAGTCTTTATGAAAATCTCATCTGTGCTCAAAAATGCAACTTTACTTAATACACTACATAAAAGTATCTAGTGAAAGAGGATTATGAATGAATGATGTAGAGAAAACTATTATCTAGAACAACTAAAGATAATCATAGCCTATAAAAATTAATGTAAACAAGAGGCCCAAGGGCCACATCGCTCACCTGAGCACTGTGGCTAGGAAAAAAGGAAAAATCAGTTTAGTATTGAAAAGCTTAAATGCATAAGTGGTCCCAACCTACCCTAAAAATGGAGTGGGGGGGGGGTGGTCGTCATGATTTGAACAAACTTGAATCTACACTATCTGAGGATGCTTCCGTATAAATATGACAAACCGTGGCTTTGCTGTTCTTGAGATTTTTAAAGATTTTTCCTATATATTCCTATGTAAAACTTTGATCGTCCATTGTGGCCCCACCCTACCCCCTGGGGTCATGATTTGTACAAACTTGAATCTACACCACCTGAGGATGCTTCCAAATAAATATGACCAATCATAGCTTTGCTATTCTTGAGAAGAAGATTTTTGAAGATTTTTCCTATATATTCCTATGTAAAACTTTGATCGTCCAATGTGGCCCCACCCTACCCCCGGGGGTCATGATTTGTACAAACTTGAATCTACACCACCTGAGGATGCTTTCAAATAAATATGACCAATCATAGCTTTGCTGTTCTTGAGAAGAAGATTTTTAAAGATTTTTCCTATATATTCCTATGTAAAACTTTGATCGTCCATTGTGGCCCCATCCTATCCCCGGGGGTCATGATTTGAACAAACTTGAATCTACACTACCTGACAATAATTCCACATGAGTTTCATCTTTCCTGGCCCACTGGTTCTTGAGAAGAAGATTTTTCAATAATGCCATTAATTTTTTGCTATTTCGTAATTATCTCCCCTTGGAGGAGGGCGTGGCCCTTCATTTGAACAAACTTGAAACCCCTTCACCAAAGGATACTTTGTGCCAAGTTTGATTGAAATTGGCCCAGTAGTTCTGGAGAAGAAGATGAAAATGTGAAAAGTTTACGACAACAACGACGCCGACGACGCCAACGCCGACGACAGACAACGGACAAATTTTGATCAGAAAAGCTCACTTGAGCCTTCAGCTCAGGTGAGCTAAAAAGAAAAAGATGTGTATTTTCCTGTTGAAAATGACGATCACAACTTGTCTAAGTTATAGCCTGGTACTAACTGCAGTACAAAATTGACAAGTTTGTATGAATAACATCTGAATGCCTACAAATTAGTCAACCTGTAAGGATTTATTAGAATTCACTCTATTCTACACTGAGAATGACAATATATATATATATATATATATATATATATATATATATATATATATATATATATAATACTAAACAACTGCTTACATCTACGGCAAATTCGTGCTAGCTTATTCATATATAAACAGCCAAAGTTAGAATGATACACATCAGTTGAGAAATAGTGTGTCGTTCTACCATCTAGCCTCATAAAAAAAAACAACCATCTCCACAGGATAAGGGATAACAATCAAACACATGGGTTATACATGAAAAAACTGCTGTGCTAAAAGCCTGGGTTACATTTGGAGGTTCATAAGCTATGACTGATCAAAGGTCAATGGCACACCTGCTTGTGTAATCGAGTGGGGACACTTGCAACTTTCTTTAACATTGGGGAAGGAACTTCTTTCAGCATGTTCACCTGATTAATAGACGATGTGGTGTTCATTAAGTATAAGTCCACCGTAAATATGCTATCTAGTATATAATTTACATGTTACACATTGTGAGGAGACATAGATGACACTATTACAGAATGATGAATTGTAATGAAATGAACAAAATGAATGAATAATATGAAAAAAAATAATGAATAGATCGTCAAAGCTAATGCTTATAAGCATATACTGATATCACAAACACCTTTATTGTATCATTAAAAAAAAATTTCTGACTTATCTTACTTTTTCAATCTCATGAAGCAAAAACATGGAAAAGAAAAATGCTATCAATTTAAACAGGTACCTGACTTACTTGTTTTTGGTGACTAGCACTCTGTGTTACTCCCGGACCTACACTTGACGTAGAACATACACTGTCAGATCTCTCCTTTTTAAACTACAAGGAAAATTTATAATTCCATCTTTACATAATATCTATATACCCTACATTATTATAAAGTTTTCTCCACCCCTACAAAAATCTTTAAATCAGTGGGAAAGAAAGATTTACACATCAATCTACAAAACAAGTTTACACTCTCCCTTTCATTAAAAGTACCCCCCCCCCCAAAAAAAAAAAAAATCTTTTACTTTACCACTTATATTCAAATGTAAGATTATCTTTCCTTTACATGAAATAGCTTCTTTTTTTTTAAAAAAAAAAAAAAAAAAAAAAAAAAAAAAAAGCATCATTTTATAAGATGCAGTTCTACACAAACCTGAATTCCATCTGAAACACCCTCCAGTAACTCTTTGGAAATACCTCCAGGTATAGATGCTGAAAATTAATAGTGAAACTGAAGTAAAACTGAATGACTATACTTGTATTTGAGTTGTCTCCCTTTGCCTAGCTTCTGAACACACTAAAAGTAAGTTCAACCTATTCCCATTTTTCGAAATGCTTTTTACTGACTTTTAACAGGAGACTAATTAAGACATTCAGTTACCTTGCGTATCCTCCACAATGCCTGACGGCTGGAGCTGCTGAGCCTGGGAGGGTTCAGGGGGTGGTGGCTGTACTTGAGATGGTGGCGGTGGTTGAGCTGTCTGGACTTCACCGCTCTGACCAGGTGATGTCTGCCCTTGCTGTTGCTATAAGAATGAAAGAGTATAAATTTATTAACTGCTATTTTATTAGTAAATATCTTCAAGACATAACAATTTTATAACGAACTAATTTCAGAGTCATGTTATTCGAATCATGTAATTTAGTTTTTCTTGGTTATACCAAAAATAAAATTATACTCCTATTATTGAATATATTCTGTTCAATGAAAGGAAATGTTTATAATGTTTCTTTTGAACAAATATTCACAAATTTATTCCCCCCCCCCCCATTTTATAATCTTTTTTTTTTTCATTATTGAAATTAATTTCAAAAAGCAACAATAAAATTTACATCAAGATCAAGAATCACATGACAATTTCTGGTTTAAACAAATACTGAACTGAAAGTCAAAGAACATGATACATGTACAAATACATGTACTTAAGTTTACCTGTGGTTGAGGCTGACTAGATTGTTCCTGTAGTTGCTGTGGTATAGAAGCTTGGCTGGTGGATGGTACCAGGCCAGTCTCTGATGAACTGCCCTCGGCAGCTTTCGCTATCCTCAAGGCTATGATTGGTTGGATTCTGTCTTTGATCTGCCTTGTGACGGTCTTTACATCCTCCTCCAGTAAAAATCCCGACTTCACCTAAAGTTACATACATTGTTTACAATTTTCTCCATGATAACTTTCTTAGCTTTCTTCAAACTAATTGGCTACCAGATGTTTTATCTTAGCTAAGTTTCACAAGAAAGCAGATCTATATAGGCAAAGGCAATTTCATAAATTCAGGCATTTTAATTACATAACAGCTTGCTTAAAATGCTTGCATTCAATATCTAAGGGATCTTTACCAGAAACTAACCAGAAAATTAGAATTTTCATAAAAGATAAACAAAACTCAGCAACACAATTGAGAGTCACAAATGCCCATTACCATTTCTACAGCCACTTCTTCAGCTTGATCATTATCTAGATCAAATTCAAACTGTATGGCCTCATTTTCCTTGTGTTTGTCCCTGCGTTTCTTGGGGTCTACTACACGGAGATGCATTGCTATGATGTTTGAGGAAGCTCCTTCCTCGTCTCGGTTTGCAACTTCCACTGTAAGACCAGTGTCCTCCGTAAAGAAATCCAACTGCAGTAATGTTTTAGCTGAAGGTCTGTAAAAAAAAATTTTTTTCTATCAAATTTTTTTTTTCAAAATATTGTTAAGTGCACATTCAGAGTACTTTCTTAGGTTCAATATGTATATATCCATGGTTCAAATCTGAATGTGTATAATTAACTCTGGAATCTGGATGCATATTATGAACTTACAAGTTTTTGAAGCAATTTCTCTTTTGTTAGAGTTTATCTCTCTCTCTATTCATCAGAATTATGAGACATTTTCTTTACCTGTCCTGTCTGTTTGTTTGTATGCAGCTGTCAATAATTCTTTTGATTTCTTCATTCTCCAACCTATCAAAGGCCTCAGGTCTCACACCCTGTTATAAATAGGGATGTTATAAATTTACGTTGTTTTCATCCTTCAGATTTACGATTTAATTTTCAGGATACAGATTTTAAGAATTTTATCTTTAAATGATATTTCATGGAATGTATTCCTGACACATGAATTAAATCAATAAAACATAAATCAATATTCATTTCTGATTTTTAGATGTTGTTTCTCAAGATTGCAAGTCAAGGAAGGGCATGGGATTATGGACCTTGCATTTCTACATATATATAACTGAGAAATAATTCCATTTAAAAGTAATCTTATTAGCAAAAGAAAGGTATGCCACCCTGAGGAATTTGAAATAATCTAAAAATTGTCCCTATTGCAATTTGTCTTCACAGCCTATGGTAAGGATCTTTATTTTTCAGAAATGTAGAAATTCAGTTTAGCTTGAAATAAAATTTGCACATACTGTTGTTACTCGTCTATAAATCTGAGCAGCATTATGGCACTCCTTGTAGGGATACTCAGATGTCGCCATTTCCAACATGCACATCCCAAATGCATAAACATCAACCGATTCATCGTAATGTTCCTCGTACATTTCCGGGGCCATGAACTCTGGCGTACCTTAAAGTAGACAGAAGACGTTCTTTGTACCTAGAAAAGGAAAATTTGAGGGGGAACCCTGATTAGACTTGCGGAATCAACACAACAATTCTGCTGGCTAAAAAAAAGGAAATGTTTTGTTAGGTACCTGAAATACATAAGCCCTGTGCACACCAGAAAGCTGCACATACATGTAAATCTTACCTTACACCTGGCTAAATCGTAATAAAGGACAAGTCTATAAGAGAGCAATCAAAAATATTTATACATATGTAGTTGATTAATACATCTTGAGAAGAATTTTGCCTTTTTGAGATTTTCATTAAATTTTGAAGGACTTTGATTTTTACTTCAACTCCTGTAATTTCTTCAATGAAAATATGTATTTAAAAAATTTCCAAAAGAACCACTGTACTATTTTCAAAAGATTTACAGATTACTGGCATGACTTAACTGAAAAATCTTGAATAAATATAATTTATACTTACACTCAGAATAACCCATACTTACTTTTAATACCTACATGTATTTCATAAAATGTTTTCATCTACGAACTGAAATTTGATTGGTCAGGAGACACAAAAATGTCAGTTGCCTGACACATAAAGACATTTCCAAATGTGGTATTAAAAAAGAAACACAAAACTATGTATCAAAAACAAGGAAATACTTCTTTTTATCATTATATGTTTCATACAAACATATAAATATATACTAGTGTATACTTACTTTTCCTTTAAAACCTATAAGGAAACAAACAGCAAAAGAAAGTAAAGATAATCTTCTACACTACATACACAGAATAGATATTTACCTATGACACTCTTTGCAAAAGATTTGTTTTTGAGTGTGGCCAGTCCTAGGTCCCCAATCTTGACCGAGCCCGTTGTCCCAGTGATGAAGATATTGTCACATTTGAGGTCTCTGTGTATAACAGGGGGGTCCCTGGTGTGCAGGTAACACAGGCCCTTCAAGATCTGCTTACACCAGCTCTTCAACACTTTGGCATTTATTTTCTTGAATCTCTTGATGTAACTATAAATGGTACGCAGTATTTAAAATGCCATACAGACACATAATGGTACTTATAATCAATATCATACATTTGCAGTGGAACTGCTTCCCCTGATATTGGCAACGTGACAATGCTTCACGCACTGGTAAATGACCATATTATGTTGAGTGAAAGGTTGCTCTAAATAGTTTCAGTTTTAACAGAAATGCTTTAAATCTTTCATAAAATCTCTATGCATTTTTCATGAACATACCACATCTTTATCATGATTTACTAAAATCAAATTCCTTAACTGCATATCAGAAGCTGGCATAACTGGGAAGACTTCCAAGGGGAGAAAAACTATTATAAATGTTAATGCATATACAATGGGAAAAACATAGTTTTTTCTATATAGCAGGGAATGAAAAGCATTCTGCTCAACTGCAGTGATAATGTTATGTGGGAGGACACTTAAATGTCACACAAACATTGATTTTCCAGAGATCAGATGGCACTTCCAGCCAGCTCCATAATCTATACCAAGGCCAGCTTTAACATATATAGGATAAAGCCTTCATTTTAAATGTTTCCGACTTTCAATTATTCATATAGGTGCATTAATATTTGCAAAAAGCTGTTTAAAGACCATGTCTGTGGCATGCAATAATGTAATACTAAATAACATCTGGGATGTCTGTCTAAACAATGCACACAAAAAAAAAACAACTTGATAATATCAGTGTCATTCATCATACATACGTTTTAAGAGTCCCAGATGTCATTAGCTCTGTAACCAAAACAATGATTTTTCTGTTCCTCATATTTGGCTCTTCCCAGGAATCATAGAATCTCACAATGTTGGGGTGTTGCAGTTCTTTCAACATTTCTGCTTCTTCACGAAATCTCTGTCTTTCACTTTTGTTCCATTTCTTATCCTGAAATTCATTTTTATGACATTATATTTAACAAGTTCTCATTAATTTTTTTTTTTTAAATTCATACACCTTAGTTTTATATTACATATTAAGTGTCAGAATAAAACTCTGCTTATAACAATGTGTGTTTCATTTTTAAATACATTTTTATATTGCTAACTTGTCCTTATTGAAGCCTGGAAAAAGATTTCCAAGTGTCTAGCAAAACAACAAGAATCAAGTGGTGTTCTGACCTGACCCAGTTGTTTTTGCAACATTTGGAAAAGGAAATGATATAACATGTGAAGATAATTGGAAATACAGTTTTGTCTTCCTGCTTACTTGTCAATCATTGTCATGTCTGCGTGAATTTGATTTTCGAACAATAATGTTATTTTTATACAGAGAAATACCATTACATAATGCAGAAGATAACTATTTTTATGCAAACCATTTCAAATTTTAGTGCTCTGTTCCTTGTTTTAGAATTGTGAAATGTCATAAGACATTCTCTCATAATACTCATGCACAGATTCACACATGACCAAGGCCACAAGATTTTCTACATGATGAAGCTGACATTTTTTTTTTCCAGAGCAAAGAAAATTACATATGTTTAGTAATTATAATAGAAAAAAGCCCTGTATGTACCTGCAGTTCACACCAGGCAACAGCCACACCGGTTTCTGTATCCAATCCTTTGTAAACAGTCTTAAAAGATCCCCTACCAATTTCTACATCAAACTTTAAAAATCTCCCATCTGGAGACGTTGCCACAGCTTTTTCATCATTTTCATCCTCTTTTTTCACCGTTTCATCATCGTCTGTGTCTTTTTTCTCCGTAGCACCATCGAGTTCAGAAGTTCCCTCCTGCGACAAAACTTGGTCATCTATTCCTTCAGGTTCTTTAGAATCAACACTTTTACCCAATGCACTGTCAGTTGTTGAACATGAACCATCATAACTCTGAACTGAAGTTTTCTCCTTGTTTCCATCAGCTCTAATCACAGTTGTTGTTTTATCTATTGTTACAGACCTCCTTGTTGATCTTGGAATGACATGAAATTTGTGCTTGATTTTATCACCACCTGGTTTCTGAACACTTTTCAGATCTGGTCTTGAATCATCAGAATTATTACTAACATTACTTAAACTAGCATCTACTTTGCTGGAATCTTTGAAAACGGAATCATTATCAACAGTTTTCTCTTTTTCATTGTCTCTCTGAGAAACTGACATTGCATTGTCTGTTGAACACGACGGTATACTCGCTGACCTATCTCTTTCCCTTTTAATTCCTACACTTTTGAATTTTCCAGAGGGTGAAAATTTCTCTCTCTCACTCCCATTTATTGCTTGAACCTTGGCTGTCCAATCATCAGATGTACACTTTCTTTGCTTGCCAAGACCTCCATACCGAGTATTCCTTGTGCTTACTTTTGAGACATGATCTGGAGATTGCCTTTCACCCAAAGTTCTGTCAGTTAGTCTACGATGTGTATTTCTCTGTCCCATTTCATTACTTGCTCTTCTGTTGATTTTGCTTGCAGCTGACAGTCCTTGATGTTTCAGTGGTTTCCTATGAATCTCAGGAATATTCTCATCCGAATGTGAAATGTCTCCATTTACACTGGGTGGGACAGTCTTACTCATGATTCCAATTTATCAAACTGGAGTCAAACAACTTTAAATCCGACCAGCAACTCTTTAGCTCTAGTCCAGGTTTAAAGTACAACTATGAATCAAAATAGCAAGAACTCATTATGTCACTTCAATCACGCTTATACATATATGTACAATAATACTGTATCCAACAATACTGTTATCTACACACTACCTGAAACTTTAAATTACTATCCTACTTCGCTGTATCACAGAGTAAATCCGCACACTATATATCTATTACGTGTCCTGCTATACGTATAAACACGAGAATAATTGGTTGTCTGACCTACTTCCAAAACCTAAACAAGGTCGACGATTATGTTCAATCAAATCGATCGACCTTAGATTTTGGATTGAAACGCCAGTCAAAATCCTTACTTTGATGAAAGAAATGTTCATCCACTTTTCAGGATTCGTAAACTCCACTTCACTCGTCATGCTTGATATTAATCATGACCACTTATTGAACGACAGCATTCCACAAACCAGACAGAATGATTTGTTACCAGTGCACTGCGTTATGCCTGTTATTTTCTTCACGTCTCCTTCAGAGGTGACCGTTGGTTACAATTCCATCAAACAGAAAGATATCCGATGGATGAAATATCCATTTCGGACATCCATATATTCTATAAAACATTAAATCCACATATTTGCAGTTAATTTCTCTTTCCTGTTTGTTCTACTGTACAATCACAGCCCTTTCAATGGCGACGATTCACCTCAGATCATGCATAAGCTTTGGCGCAGGAATATGACTGATATTTATTTTTCTTCATTTCCAAAAACTGGAATTATTTTTATAGTAATTGAAAAATTAACATCTGAAAATGTGTATATTTCTTAAAACACTTACGTTTAGATCGTAAACAAATTATTTCAATAAACAAACATCTTAGAACTATAGTTTATGATGATGAAACACACACTTCGCCGGAAGTGTGACTGCTGACTGTTCGTCTGCTATGATTATTTCGGGATGTGAATGATACCAGGGACGTATACATGTATACTAACATAGTACAATGAAACTGATGAGATTTCTTTTTTTTTTAATGTAGTTGACAAAAAAAGGGAATAACAATAAAAGAAGACGTGTTTTTGAAATTTATATCCCAAATATCGAGCAATAAGCACTCCTAGCCCAATACTTTCAAGATATACTTACTATACTGTATCATTTAAAAATACTTGATGACCATTAATATTTGATTAACTTTGGATTTAAACTCATAAATATAACTTTTTTTACTGTAAAAGACGGATCCAAGATTTTTCGTTCGCTTGCATAGTTTTTTTTTTTTAATTTTGAAAAGTGGGGGGGGGGGGCTATTAATTAATGGGACCTGAAACGAAATTCAATTTTTTATATACATTTTTTAATTAGGCCTTATCATTTTTATATGGACTATACTAAAAGGGGGGGGGGTAAAACCGTGCATGTTCATTCTCTGCATTTTCTCCGACAGCATTGTTTTCAGTATTTATATCAGTTTTTAAGGCTCACGGAGCGTAGTTTAGATGCAGGAAGTGAAACACTCCAGAGTAAAATTCACTTGAAAAACTTCTGTCAGATAACACGGTCACCGCATAAAGCAACTACTAAATTGATGGGGGTACTAATACTTCTCTTATTATAGATCTATATGTATCGCTCTCTTACCATCTGCCACATGCATCATGTGCACACCTCTATTAAATGAGAAAGAAATCTAGACCAAATCAAAACATGCACCGTTTCTTTATATAGTATAACACGTATATATATTTTTTTAAATATTTCTTTATTCACCGAACTCAAATTAACCTGGCTGAGCTTTTGCGTTTTAAATTAAAAAGAACTATTTTCCCGGCCGGGGGGGGGGGGGGGGTAAGTAAATGATTACTTACTTGTATACATTTGATGTGGGGGGGGGGGGGGGAGGGGATACAATGTATTTTGTGTTTTATAACTTACACAACAATTACATGCATGGGATGGATACAGCGAATTATCTATCGTTTGTATCTTAAGTGAATCAACCTGATAAAGAAATTGAGAAGTCAAAAACACAAAAGATGTTAATCGATGAGTATATTCTGAGGTTGGCTGTACCACTCTAAACCAAGCTGCCTTATCATCGGTGTGGATGCTTCATGCTATTTGCTGACGTGCAATACGTGGGGTAAAAGTAAATATACATTAACAATGCTAATCTTTTTTTACTACTCACGTGTCATTCATGTTACACACAGTATATCTGAGAGAAAGAAAGAGAGGGAGAGAAAGAAAGATAGTGAAAGTTTAAAATTATGATTTTTTTAATTCCAGGAGTTAGTGTTTCTTTAATTTCTAAACCTCTATAAATTTTTTGACTCTCGTTTCGTAATAATTTGTGACATGGTGATAAATCTTCTAATGCACATGCAACGTATAAGTTTTTCACACATGACAGATTTTTAAATAGATCAATTCTCAGAAAATCTAGATTTGAATTATATTAAACATGTTAAAAAAAAACTTTCACCAACAATTTATTATTTTTTTTAAACATTATATTATTTAAAGAGGGGTGTCAAAACTGGTTTAATATGTGTTTATTTGTTTGATTGGCTAATCTCAATTTGGATAAATTATACATAAAATAAAAAAAACTTTATAATTATATAATCGATCTATCAACTCTTTATATTCCTTATCAACCCGTGCCAGTCAGACGAATGTCAGCGTTGAACTCCGTCAACTTTACAGGTGCAGTATATTGGTGATGTGTCAGTTTTATGAATGAAAATTTAATTTTAAATCCACTTTTCTTTTCTAGCACATAAATTTTTACCTACTGAATTGAGCAAGCAGACGACATAAAATAGGTGTGCGTCACATGTACAAGGGATCGCCCAATTTAAACAAGCAGACGATAGCCCCGTGTGAAATCAGAGGAGCACTAAAGCACTAGGTAAATCGGTGAAAGCTTGCCCTATGTATATTTCACAAGCTTATATATACCTGACCGCCTAGAGGTCAGATAATAACTACATTCCAATAGCCACCTCCTGTTTTTGTGACAGTGAATCATAATTCATTATCTTCTGTTTTTGACAGATGGGGACATCCGTATCCCAAACTATTATCTTTACACCTATAGCTAAGAATAAGTGTATATTCATCAATGGATTTTCGCACGCTCAATGCATGGACTTTATATCGTGTATATCCACTAACGTACACAAAAGCCTTGAACTTTTGCACTGGTATATAACATATACATGCGTAAAACCCTATTTTTTCCTAAATAACTTGTTTGTTTTCCTTTTGGTCAAGACATATTATGTGTTAGTTTTTTTCCCTCTTACATGTATTTTCCGATTACAAGTGTCCAAAATGGTTTTTATGTAATTAATTGTTTTACACGAGGAATGGCTGTCATGCGCATATTACAAAGAATCGGCAAATACTATAACACTTTTTACTTTTTTAAAGAAAAAAAAAATAAATAAATAAAATGATTTGAGGAGAAAACTATCGACCAAATGTGCATGCTGTTGGAGAATGCAGATTGTTCAGGAAACAATGTTTCTTTTGATTCCTGGTGCAAAACAAAAGAGGGTTTAATATCTGTCATATGTACAGTTTCTTTCAAAGAAAAAATGTGCAACAATAGAAAACAGAGAAGTCATGTGTCAGCATGTGCTTCTTATTTAAATATAATCTAACAACAATGAACAATGTCTGTTTTTAAAGTTGTGTAAGTTGTGTCAGTCCGTCCAAAGGATTTAATTTGCTAATTAGATACTTTGTTTCTTCACATATTTACGGTAATTACAACCGAAGATGTAGATTGCTACATTGAATTGAAATAGATTAAGATGATAAGTTATGAGGTAATTTTTCGTAATTTAGTTTAATATTTGTATAATGTTTCATAATCATATGTACAGTAAGGCTTAACACATTTAACTTTAAATCAATATTCCTTAAATTAATCATTCACAAAGTCAAGGACAGCTTTACCTATATATTGTCATTGATCTATATTGTTAACCGAATAGGCAATTTCGTGACTTCGTACACATCAGATATTTAGACAAGGGCGTCTTGTAAAATTTATGGATTAAACACTGTGAAATACGGGTATCAGAGACAAATGCGCGTTCGTCACTTTACACTGCGAAAGCCCCTTATTCCGTGTCATTTTGAGGGCATTTCTGCCCACAGATTTGACATGCAAGAAAATTGTGTCGACCTGCAACATTAATATGCCAAAATGCAAAATTACTATATGTTGATATGCGTTAAAATTGTGTTCGAATAACTACGAAATTTCAAATGCTGTCTGCATATTAAATACATTAAACATGCTTTAAAAATATTGTAGCAGTATACTCTATAATTTTCCCCCCAGTTCCTTATGATTTCTTTTTTTTTTTTAACTTAAATTGAAAAATATGTATTTTGTTATTTAAATGCATGTATACATTGAATATCATCATAATCCATTAAATTCATGTGTTTTTTACAAGTGAAAATTTACATCATCTTGTAATGAAAACATTGAAAAAAATTACCAATCCAGGGAGCTCCTGGCACCCCAGGTGAGGTATATACGAAGGTCTTTTGAGAAAACATTGCCTCAAACGTTCCAAGTTTTTGAGAATTAAATATATTGGAGAGAAGAGATAAAAAAGACGGTAAACATACAAGGTTCAACATATCAATATTTAATGTTGACAAGCAATTTATTAATTTGACATGCAAATGTAACTATGTCAACATGCAACTTATTTATTTAAGTTGACTTACAATACATATATTAAAATACAACTTAATTATTGATTTTGACATGCAACTTATGTATTGTACTGACATGCAATTTTTAAGGTTAGTACTTTTCAATTGTGTATAAAGTTCAAATTTTATTGTTCTAAGGACAATGTTTTAAACGCAAACATATGAAACCAAACATTTTAGGCTAGCCTTGCATGTGTTAAAAATATTTTAGTTTTAGGGGGTGTTGGTGTGTAATCGCACTATTAGGAATTATAATTAAGATCTCCTTTCTCCAAATTTGAATGGTTTACTCTGTTTGATTTGAAAACTTTCATCTTAATTTCTTTGTGAAATAATCCAGATGCCTTCGCTCAATAAGTCATAATGCAGGTTCAAAGCTGCATTTTCAAAGGATAAATATCGGTTAATGTAAAATGTCAATTCATTGATCCTTTAATTTCCTGTGAATTTGTCCGAGTTTGTCTTTTCAAAATCCTGCATACCATAAGATAATTATATCATTTTAGAATTTGGAGAAGAGATTCAAGGATTTCTCCGCGGGTGAGTAGGAACAAAACATATCGATTTACGGTTTTACGATGTTTTCCTGCCTACCAGCTATACTTAAGATCAAAACGTATATTCTGATCGCGATACACACATCATAAGGAAGGTATACAATATGGATATGCAAATGACAATTTCCATTATAGCTGGGCAACATCCTTTCCAAGAACTAATTTTTTTTAACAATTTACAACAGCAACATTTTTCCCTCTATGTATATAACCCCCTCAAAGTCAAACAGATTTTGCCACCACCCTTGTGGTGTCCTATCATTCGTTCACATTTCTCTTCTGTTTACCTATTCTCCATGTCTGCATCTGCTGCTTTATCGATTAGACCTGTGTGTTTAAGTGTCGACATGTTATTGCCCGTATCTCAGTGTCATTTCTCAAGCGCTGCAACGTCTTCCCATCAACTTGACCTTCTG